CAACCCATGCTTTCCTTCCTGAAAGCAGCACAGATGCTTGGAAGTGAACAACAAAGCTACATGGTGAGTTGTCTTCACTCTGTTAAAGTTCCAATATGGGAAAACATTTATGGTTTTCACAGTTTTTCTGCTCAGGTCAAAATCAAGTATAAGGACACTGCACTGCGGATTAGGGAATATGAGACAAAGAAATATGAGGACTGGCTGAAAGAAATTGAAAACAGCTGGCCACTATTGAAACAGCCTCTGCTGACTATCAGAGAAAACCAAGACCTGGTATGGACCACTCACTGTTACTCATATCAACTTGTTTCCCTCGTGTTTTTTTTATCGGCCGTCAATTGTGCACATTCTCCCACTTAAAAAGATGAGAGAGGTCTGTAATTTTCATCATAGGTGTACCTCAACTATTAGACAAAATGAGAAAGAAAGTTCCAGAAAATCACATTGTCTGATTTTTAAAGAATTTATTTGCAAATTATGGTGGAAAATAAGTATTTGGTCTCCTACAAACAAGCAAGGCTCTCACAGACCTGTAACCTCTTAATGGCACCTGTTGGAACTCGGTATCAGTATAAAAGACACCTGTCCACAACCTCAAAGAGTCACATTCTAAACTTTACCATGGCCAAGACCAAAAAGCTGTCAAAGGACACCAAAACCTGCACCAGGCTGGAAAGTCTGAATGTGCAATAGGTAAGCAGCTTGGTGTGAAGAAACCAACTGTGAGAGCAATTTTTAGAAAGTTGAAGACAAGACCACTGATAATCTCCCACGATCAGGGCTCCACACAAGATCATACCCCATGTGGTCATTATGATCACAAGAACAGTGAGCAAAACTCCCAGAACTACACGGGGGACCCAGTGAATGACCAGCAGAGAGCTGGGACCAAAGTTACGAAGGCTACCAACAGTTAAACACTACGCCATCAGGGACTCAAATCCTGCAGTGCCAGACGTGTCCCTCTGCTTAAACCAGTACATGTGCAGGCCTGTTCTAAGTTTTCTAGAGAACTGTATTGCTACGAGCAAATGTAATGTTAATCTTGTTTGTTTTCGTAAGAATTAATGTTTAAATCTCATTGTTAGAAAAAATGGTACTGTCGCTTTAAGAGGGACTGGATCTCAGACACAGGAAGTTGCATAGGCTATAGAGTGAGGAAATCAGGAAGCAAGCACATGGCACAGAGTGGAGGTTGTTAGTCGAGTCAATCCAGCTGCATCTGCAAACGTCTTCTGCTTTTTGTTAGCATCGTAGGTATGTATTGAAAGTTAAATATATTCTTTGTCATATTAGTTCATTATTTTTGGGAAAATTATATTTTGTAAACATATATTTACACACTGGGAAATAACATTGCCAATTTGGGTTTATAAGGCGGATATATGTGTTAACCCCTTCACTGAAATAAGTCAACAGATAAATACATAATTCATGGCATGTTAAAAATATAAAATATGTAAACTAAAAGTACAAGTTAATGAGTACAGCTGATTTCATTGTTAAACAGTGATTTATTTGATTTCTGTTGAATGTGTTTGTTTAAGAGGAAACAGAACTGATTATAATTTGTATGTTTCAGTTTCACCTTCCTTGCTACGTCAATAAACCTGTGTACAAGGAGTCATCTGTCTGCAGAGTCTTGATGTTCAAGGAGGCGTTTATCTGACTGTCAAGTCATATAGAGCACGTATGATGAGGACAGCACAGTGAAACTACGGCTCTCAGTCCAGCGGGATAACGCAATGTAAGCTGAAAACAAGACTAAATCCCCACACATCATCAGTGGACAACAATTACTCTTCAAGATCGGTAAGACTACACCATGGCAGAGGAGGCGTCTTTAAAGACACGTTCACGAGCCTCATGTTCATCAGTACAATCAAGTGTTTCAGCAACTGGGTCTGCTGCAACAAAGGCAAGAGCAAAGGCTGAAGCTGCTAAGGCACGGCTTGCCTTTGTTGAAAAAGAAGCTAGTCTGCAGCTAGAAAAAGTAAAATTGGAGGCATCTTTAAAGAAACTTAAATATGAGGAAGAGTCAGCAGCAGCTATTGCTGAAGCAGAAGCCCTCGAAGCTGCAGCTGATATTAACAGTGAAAAAAGTGAAAAGCAGAGCTCTAAGTTATGCTTAGATTCTATTCCATTGGACTCTTCAGCACGCACAGAGCAATATGTTGTCAACCAAAATCGGATACGGGAAAATAACTCACAGCCATTTGTTGATCCAACAAAAACCGAACAGATGTCTAATTGTGTTCTGTCTGACCAACTTAAAGTATGCTGCACCCTTTCTTCCAAACTGCATTACTACTGCATCCCAATCACAACCCATTGCTCTAGATCCTCCTCCAGTTGGTCGCAAAGAAAGATTTGAGCATGCTAGGATGCAATACGGTAACTGTCGTGATTCCCAATATTGCAGACCTTCAAATACGACACCTTCCTGTCCACAACCTGCACTCACAAATAACGACAGCTCAAACATGAGTGACTTTGTACGATATTTAGCTCGTCGGGAGCTTGTGGCAACAGGTTTATTACAATTTAATGATAAACCACAGAACTACAGAGCCTGGAAACGTTCCTTTCTGTCCGCAACACAGGATTTAAACCTGTCACCGAGTGAAGAAATGGATCTTCTGCTGAAGTGGCTCGGCAAAGAATCAGCACAACATGTGGAACAGATAAGAGCGATACACATCAACTATCCACAAGCAGGACTGGATATGATATGGAACAGACTTGATGAAACCTATGGATCAGCTGAAGCTATAGAAAATGCGTTGTTCAAACGTATTGAAGACTTCCCAAAAATACCTAACAGGGATTCCTATAAGCTAACCAAACTGGGCGATCTTCTAATGGAACTTTCATCTGCCAAAACTGAGGGCAACTTACCTGGTCTGTCTTTCCTCGACACAGCTAGAGGAGTCAACCCAATCGTGCAAAAGCTACCGTTTCGCCTACAGGAGAGGTGGGCAACAGTCGGTGCAACCTACAAACATCTAAATGGGGTCACCTACCCTCCCTTTGCTTATTTTGTTGACTTTGTATGCCAGGAGGCTAGGATCGCCAGTGACCCATGTTTTAACTTCATCTCTCATACAGACGCAACACAGATGAGCAGACCGGCTCCAAGGTCGAACAAGTTTAAGGAAGTATATGTGCACAAGACAGAAATCTCTCCTCAAGCCTACACGTATACTGAAAAAAGATTAAGACCGGATGAATACGACAAAATGTGTCCTATACACAAGAAACCTCACCCTCTGCATAAATGTCGCACATTTAAAGAGAAACCCATCAAGGACCGTATGACATTTCTAAAAGAAAATAACATTTGTTACCGGTGTTGTTCGTCCTCCACACACATTGCCAGGAACTGCAAAATGAAGCTACAATGTGAAGAGTGTAAGAGCGAAAATCACCACACAGCACTGCACCAAGAACCCAGAAAGGGGGTGAACGCCTTACATGAGCATGGCGGGGAGGATGACGAACCAACAGAACAACCAAAGGTAAACTCAAAATGCACCGAAGTCTGTGGTAGCGAATGGACTGATCGTTCTTGCTCCAAAATATGCCTTGTAAAGGTGTACCCAGCTGGCCACAGAGACAAGGCTGTAAAGCTGTATGCCATACTGGATGAACAAAGCAATCGATCACTTGTGAGGTCACATTTTTTTTATGTCTTCAACGACCAGAGCCCAAGCGCTCCATATACACTGAGAACATGTGCTGGGGTTAAGGAGGCAGCTGGGAGAAGAGCTAGTGGCTATGAAGTGGAATCATTAGATGGAAGTGTGCGCATCCCACTACCAAGTCTCATAGAATGTAATGATATTCCTAACAACAGAGAGGAGATTCCCACACCAGAGGTGGCCTTTCACCATCCACACTTGGAGTCGTTGGCTTGTCTTATCCCTGACATCGACCCCCATGCCCAGATCATGTTGCTGCTTGGTCGAGACCTTATTAGAGTTCATAAGGTGCGCAAGCAGGTGAATGGCTCACACAACCTACCTTATGCTCAAAAACTCGACCTAGGGTGGGTTATTGTTGGAAATGTATGTCTAGGAAGTAACCACAAGCCACAATCAATCAACACCTTTTACACCAAAACCATGGAGACAGCACGCCCAACGCTCTTTGAACCTTGCCCCAATGTGTTCAGTGTTAAAGAGAAATATGACAACACACACATTCCGATACATCCTTCGTCCTTATCTGAGATTAAACCAGACTGTGAGGCGGACCATCTTGGTTATGTTGTCTTTAAAGAGACAAAGGAGGACAACCAGCTGGCTCCTTCAATCCAGGATTCCCTTTTTATGGAAATAATGAATGAAGGTCTGCATAAAGATGCAAATAATAGTTGGGTGGCGCCTTTACCCTTTAAACATCCACGACAGCGGCTGCCCAACAATAAGCCTCAGGCATTGAAACGACTCATCTCCCTGAAATACAACTTCAGAAGGAAGCCAGAAATGAAGGAACATTTCATCAACTTCATGGAGAAGATGTTCGAAAAAGGCCATGCAGAAGTAACCCCTCCGATAGTAGATGACAAAGAACAGTGGTACTTACCCATTTTTGGCGTGTACCATCCGAAGAAGCCCGGCCAAATTAGAGTTGTGTTTGACTCGAGTGCTCAGTACGAGGGTGTGTCACTCAATGATGTCCTGCTGTCTGGACCAGACCTGAACAACTCTCTGCTGGGTGTACTTCTGCGGTTTAGAAAGGAAGCAGTTGCCTTCACTGTCGATATAGAACAAATGTTCTACTGCTTCTATGTGAGAGAAGAAGACAGAAACTTCCTGCGTTTCCTGTGGTTCCAAGACAATGACCCTTCTAAAGATGTTGTGGATTGTCGTATGAATGTACATGTCTTTGGAAACAGACCTTCACCAGCAGTGGCTATTCATGGTCTCCATCAGTCTGTCCAAGATCGAGAGTCCAAGGTTGAGCCTGATGTCAAGAACTTTGTTACACGTGATTTTTACGTGGATGACGGTCTTAAATCCATGCCCTCCACCGAAACAGCAGTGAGTCTCCTGAAAAGGACTCAAGAGGTTCTTGCTAAGTCAAACCTCCGACTGCACAAGATAGCCTCAAACAAAAAAGAAGTTATGGAAGCCTTTCCGTCCACTGATCACGCTAATAGCCTCAAAGACCTTGATCTAGATGATGACTCACTGCCGCTGCAACGCAGTCTTGGACTCAACTGGGACCTCCAAGCAGACTGTTTTGTGTTCAATGTCTCAGACAATGTGAAACCATACACTCGGCGGGGTGTATTATCCACTGTTAACAGTCTTTACGATCCTCTTGGATTTGTGGCGCCAGTAACTATCCAAGGAAAGGCTATTCTGCGAGAACTAACCACTGAAAAAGGAGATTGGGACTCACCATTACCAAAAGATATGGAGCAAATCTGGGAGTCATGGAGAGCATCTTTATCACAACTGTCTGGGTTTTCTGTTCCCCGACTATACACACAAACATCGCCTTCAGAAGCTTACAGAAGAGAACTGCATGTCTTCTGTGACGCATCAATCAAGGCTATTGCTGCAGTAGCGTATCTAAGAGTCGTTGATGCACGTGGAAATTGTTGTGTTGGATTTGTGATGGGCAAAGCCAAACTCGCCCCTCGTCCTGAAATGACCACGCCAAGATTAGAACTTTGTGCAGCAGTTCTTGCAGTAGAACTGGCAGATTTAGTCTCTACAGAAATGGATCTCCAGCTCCATACTATGTCCTACCATTCAGACAGCAAAGTGGTCCTGGGCTACATTTATAACGAAAACAGGCGGTTCTACGTCTTTGTCAGCAACAGAGTACACCGCATTCGGAAATCATCCCTTCCAAACCAGTGGCACTATGTCCCAACAGACCAAAATCCTGCAGATCATGCTACACGTTCTGTTGTGGCAGGTCACCTAAAGAACACAAACTGGTTGAGTGGCCCAAAATTTCTGGTAAGTCCAGAACCAAGTATCAACAATGACACCTTTGATCTTGTGGACCCGGTTGCAGACCCAGATGTGAGGCCTTGGGTGTCTACCCTGTCTACCACAGTGTCTTCAAAAAACATTGGTAGTGAACGCTTCACCAAGTTCTCTGCATGGAACTCTCTCACTCAGACCATGGCTCGGCTGTTGCACATAGCAAAGATGTTCAGCACAGCGAAAAGGGAGGTCCGATCCTGCAAAGGCTGGCATTGCTGTAAGACAAAGGTAACTGTGAAGGAAATCGACCAAGCTGCAAACGTTATTGTGCGTACGGTGCAGGAGGAAATCTATGCTGAAGAGATCAAGTGCATTCAGAAGTCAGAAAGAATTCCTAAAGGCAGCCCTCTCTACAGACTGGACCCATTCATCGACAAAGATGGACTTCTCAGAGTTGGGGGCCGTCTCGTCCATTCCACTCTTGGGCAAGTCGAAAAGAATCCATTGATCGTCCCTGGGAAACACCATGTTGCAACCTTGATAATAAGACACCATCATGAACAAGTACACCATCAAGGCCGCCATTACACGGAAGGAGCTATTCGGACATCAGGATTTTGGATAATTGGCTGTAAAAGAAGGGTTAGCAGCATCATCAACCAGTGTGTCACCTGTAGACGACTAAGAGCTCCTTTGAGTGTCCAGAAGATGGCAAATCTTCCAACAGATCGTTTGACTACAGATCCTCCGTTCACAAATGTGGGCCTGGATGTGTTCGGGCCGTGGCACATCTGTTCACGTCGTGCAAGAGGTGGCCTGTTACACAGTAAAAGGTGGGCTGTAATATTTACGTGTATGAGTGTAAGAGCTGTTCACATCGAGGTCATTGAGTCACTTGACGCATCAAGCTTCATCAATGCATTGAGGCGTTTTCTTGCAGTGCGAGGGCCAGTCAAGCTCATACGTTCAGACCGTGGCACTAATTTCGTCGGAGCCTGCAAGGAGTTAAATATACCCTCAAACATTGACAACTCAGCGATCAACACTTACCTCTTGAAAGAGGGAATAACCTGGATCTTTAATCCTCCCCATGCTTCCCATCATGGTGGTACATGGGAGAGAATGATTGGCCTGGCAAGAAGAATACTTGACACCATGTTCCTTCAGCTAAAAGATAAACTTACCCATGAAGTGTTGGTGACCTTTATGGCAGAAGTAGCGGCTATCATCAACGCTAGGCCTCTGGTGCCAGTTACACATGACCCTGAAGATTTGTACATGCTCACTCCAGCCACTCTTCTTACTCAAAAGGTAAACGTCCTTCCAGCTCCTGTTGGTGACTTCGGAGTGTCTGACCTCTACAAGTCTCAGTGGCGCCAGGTACAACACTTGTCCAACACTTTCTGGGACAGATGGAAAAAGCAGTATCTGCCCACACTTCAGCCACGCAGGAAATGGCAGTCTACACAACCTAACGTGACAGAAGGAAGTATTGTTCTTTTAAGAAATAACGACCTGGCAAGGAACGAATGGCCCACTGGACTGATAACGAAGACTTTTCCAGGTGAAGATGGAAAAGTGCGGGAAGTTGAAGTGAAGATTGTAAAACCAGGAGGGACTGCACTCTATCGTAGACCTATTACAGAGATAGTAGTTCTCCTTCCGAAAGAGGATTAGTCATACAAACTGTTGAAGTTGTTAGTGACGTGTATACACGCCAGGCGGGGAGTGTATTGCTACGAGCAAATGTAATGTTAATCTTGTTTGTTTTCGTAAGAATTAATGTTTAAATCTCATTGTTAGAAAAAATGGTACTGTCGCTTTAAGAGGGACTGGATCTCAGACACAGGAAGTTGCATAGGCTATAGAGTGAGGAAATCAGGAAGCAAGCACATGGCACAGAGTGGAGGTTGTTAGTCGAGTCAATCCAGCTGCATCTGCAAACGTCTTCTGCTTTTTGTTAGCATCGTAGGTATGTATTGAAAGTTAAATATATTCTTTGTCATATTAGTTCATTATTTTTGGGAAAATTATATTTTGTAAACATATATTTACACACTGGGAAATAACATTGCCAATTTGGGTTTATAAGGCGGATATATGTGTTAACCCCTTCACTGAAATAAGTCAACAGATAAATACATAATTCATGGCATGTTAAAAATATAAAATATGTAAACTAAAAGTACAAGTTAATGAGTACAGCTGATTTCATTGTTAAACAGTGATTTATTTGATTTCTGTTGAATGTGTTTGTTTAAGAGGAAACAGAACTGATTATAATTTGTATGTTTCAGTTTCACCTTCCTTGCTACGTCAATAAACCTGTGTACAAGGAGTCATCTGTCTGCAGAGTCTTGATGTTCAAGGAGGCGTTTATCTGACTGTCAAGTCATATAGAGCACGTATGATGAGGACAGCACAAGAACATTTGAATGAACCAGGAGAGTATTGGGAGAATGTCAAATGGTCAGATGGAACCAAAATAGAACTTTATAGTAAAAACTCTACTCGTCTTGTTTGGTGGAAAAAGAATGCTCAGTTGTATCCAAAGAGCATCATATCTGCTGTAAAGCATGGGGGTGGAAACATCATGCTTTGGGTGTGCTTTTCTGCTAAGGGACCAGGATGAGTGATCTGTGTAAAGGAAAGAATGAATGGGGCAATGCATCGTCAGATTTTGAGTGAAAACCTCCATCCATCAGCAAGGGCATTGAAGATGAAACGTGGCTGAGTCTTTCAGCATGACGATGATCCTAAACACACTGCCTAGCTAATGAAGGACTGCCTTCATAATGGGGATGTAAGAAATTATCGATATGGCATTGTATTGTGATATTTTTTTTCTGCGATATTATAGCAATATTCAAAAGCCGTGTATCAAAAATATTGATATCAGAGTATATCATGATATTTTTTACTGCAATATTACATTGATATTCAAAAGCCTTGTATCTAATTTTTGGAACAATTTCCTTGCAAACTTTTGTGTATTTTCTTTTCTTTTGGTGCAGTTCAAATGCCAACCGCTGGTTGGCAGCAGTGTGCAGTGGGTTTTGTTTCCACCATTGAAATGTAAATCCCTTAATGGAATTTTGTTATGGACCAAACACTTATCTTCCACTGTCATTTGCAAATAAAGTCTTTAAGATTAAGACAGTGGGATTTTCTGGATTATTTGTTCTTCTTTTTGTCTCTCATAATCGAGGTACACCTATGATGAAAGTTACAGGGCTCATCTTGTTAAGTGGGAGAACGTGCATAATCAGTGGCTGACTAAATATTTTTTTGTCCCACTGTATATAAATATCCTAAAACCTCTTTTTGTTATTTAAAGAAAGTTCCAAGACCAGAACAAAGCAAGAAAAGGAACGTGCACTACATAGTAAACTTTCCTCCACAATTAAGGAAAGTGATTTCTGAGATAAAGCCCCTCATGTTACTGGACTACTCTGTTCCGAAAAAGGCAGAAGACTTGGCTATGTTGGAACACAGTCTCCTGAGGTGAGTACACTTCCTAAAGCACAGTGTATACTAAATGTTAAACCGTTTATGGTGTCTCTGCTTTCTGCTGCTTTAACCTCATCTTTAGGTCTGCTGATGATCTGAACAACCTTATCGAAGACTTTCACTCATTGGTGGACAGCCTGCGTGAGGAGCATCTCGACATGCTGCTGCCACATATAGAAGTGGTCAAAAAAGAGATGGAATTTGGATTGAAGAACCTCAACTGGTGTTGCTCAGGTTTGTTACCTTCACAGGATAAGCTATTTGAAGACCATGCAGTGGTTACATTATTCTTTCTGTTAGATTAAAGCACAAACGGTGTTTGGTTTTAGGGATACCTGAGTTCATCAGTCGAGGTGTCCAGGCTGTTTCTAAATTCAAGTCCATCGTCAACCAGATTCACAACAACGAGCGTGCAATTGATTCCAAGCTACAGTCGATAACTCTGTCCAACTTGCTGAAACTGCCAGTATCTGATAAATCTAGAGACTTGCCAGGTAACACGAAATTAAGGAGATATTTACTGGTTCAAAAAATGAAAATCTACCAGTGTAAAATCTTTTTTTTTAAGATATCAAGGACTTCTGTGACTGCATTGAGGGAGAGCAAACCAAGACTCTGAATATTCTCACTAAGAATTATTCTGACATCAGTTTCCTCATCAATGAGACAGAATATGTGATTATGAAAACCAGAAGTGGCAAAGCCAAATGCATGGCTAGTTACTATAAATACTGGGAGTGCAAAGTGTTTGATTCCCTGATAGAGATGCTCCAGAGGTAATCAAATTATGATTTACCCTTGTATGTTTTAGTGTTAAAAACACATTCACACATTTGTTTGTCCTTTTGTGACCTTAAGGAGCATTCAGACGTTCACCAAGGTGCTGATGGGAAACACAGCTGTTTTCAAAGCAAACGTCGTCCTATCTACTGGTATTGTGTTAGAGCCACGAAGTGACGTCATCAACAGGATGATCACGGGGTGCATTGACATGTGTGTAGAGAGCACCAAGGTGAGCTCCTCTGGTGATATTTCTGGAAAGTATGTGCATCTAGCATCAAACTAGTGACTTGATCAGGCACATAATTTTGATTTCAGCGTTTTCCACGTTGGATGCATGGGACCTGCATCAACTGCCCCATACAACTTGTGAATGATGAAGAGGGGTCTAAGAAATTCACATTCTTCTGTGATGTGTCTAAGCATCCTCAGATAAAGCTAAGTCATTTAATGGTGTCCCAAAAGATTGAGGAGCTGCTCCTCTCAGTGAGTCGCAACTTTGAGTACTGGAAACGCTACCAGTTTCTTTGGGAAAAGGACAGATGTCTTGTGACTGGAGAGTTTGCAGCCAAAAATCCATCCTATGCCAAGTATGATGATGAGATGAACGTCTTTGCTATGGCTAAGCAAGATGTGAATCTGGAGCCTCGCTGCAAGACGGAGAGCATGATCCATCTGAACCTATCGCCACTGCTTAACACACTACAGGTGATCGCAGAGTCCTGGATCGATTCACTTGGTTATTTGCTCAACAAATCTGCCAAAAAGAATCTCTTCAACTTTAGAGATGAACTCACGGTACTGAATCATGCTCCTCAGTCAGATGTTCCCAAGCTGAATGTTTCTGGATTTTTAACTTAATATTTGTCTTACACAACAGCAACTCTCTAAAAAGCTGAAGCAAAGCCCAGACACTGTGAACGACCTGAAGTCTGTTCTCAGCACCATCTCAGACATCAGGTACATGTCTGTAGACATGGAAATAAGAATCACTGATATCCAGGAGAGCTACAGAACCCTGGCCATCTATAAAGCTGAGGTACTGTGTTCAATTTGAAGTTGTTACTCAGAGATTGTATTTCTCACCCAGGTAATACCACAGTTCTGTGTGTGCCCTAGGTTGGAGAAGATGAAAAAGAGCTGGTGGCCATTATTGACCAGACATGGAGTGACCTTTACACAGAATCTAGACAAGTGGATCATAGTCTGAAAGATGTCAAGAAGTCATTTGCTGTGGTACAGTTTCAACAAGTCATTCATTAATATCTGAACTGAAAAGAATGTTTCAGAAATACACAGAGCCAACACATCTTTTTGGTTTCTGTTAAGATTACCAAAGAGAAGGTTGAAGAGTTCAGACAGAACGTGTCCATCTTTGCTGAAAGCTTCAACCTGCATGGTCCTGGAGCTGTGGGAGAAGATTTGGATAAAGGTGCCTAAATCAAAACCAGTAAAGGAATGTTTACATGTGAAATGCTGACATTTTCATTGTTGTTGTTTTTTTCCAGGACTGAGCATCATGGACAAATATGAAAAAGACCTTGCCAAGATTGTGGCTGAATGGGAAGAGCTGACTAATGCTGAAAAGCTGTTGGACCTGCCTGTCACTGTGTGCCCAGAGGTCACCAGGATTCAGAAAGACATGAGCGGCTTAAGACAGGCTTATAATGTGTATGAAGCACAGAAGGTGGGAGAATGTTTGAATTTTCCCATCCTCAATTGATTCCACACTTTCTTGCTTGAGTTGGTTCTTTTTTACAGGAAGCAAAAGCAAGATGGTCTGAAACACTGTGGGTAGATTTGGACATCCAGATGTTACAGGACAACATAGAAGGCTTCATCAAAAGCCTGAGACAGCTGCCCAAAGATGTGAGGGCTTTACCTGTTGCTTTTTTTCTGGACGAGAGTATGAACGAGTTCAGAGAATCACTGGCTCTTCTGCTAGACTTGAAGCACGAGGCACTCAGAGACAGGTTTGTCTGGAAAATGAAGAGTTTGAGTTCATTTCTTTTTTAAGGCAAATTTTTATGCCAATTAATTTATTTCACATCATGAGAACATTTGTTGGTTTTTCTTTTATCACGTGGTTACTTTATTATTGTTGTTTTAATTTTATTTTAGGCACTGGGAGGAGCTGATGGAAAGGACTGGCACCAGCTTTGAGATAAACCCTGACAGCTTTACTCTGGAGAACATGCTTGCTATGGAACTGCATAAATATGCAAACGTCATCAGTGACATTGTCACATCTGCTATAAAAGAGCTGAACATCGAGACACAGTAAAAAAATGACTGTGGAATTTACATAAAAACTTTGTAAATGCACAACAGAAATGTTATGTAAACTGGAAAACATGTATTTTCTGTTGTAATCACATTAAATGTTTGGAAATGATTAAACAATATGTTTATGTTATATTTACATTACCATTATGTGAAAATAACTATCTATTTGTTAAAACAACAAATAAAGGTAAAAAATAAAGCAAAACAATGTAATCCTTTTAACACAACAATTCTGGCAAGATTACATTAAAATATTGTAAAAAACTTTATTTTTGGCCTATTATTTTTAAAATACAATAACAGAAATATGTAAGTCACTTTACAAATTTAAGCTGTACCTATAATTGATTAAATTGTGCCTATTTCCGGTAATAGAATTGTTTTCAGTAAAAAATTAATCAGCATCATGAGAAGTTATCAGCTGCTGGGGTCCTAAGGTAGTGAGATCCTCTCCCACTGGTCAACATTATGATCATGTCACAGAAAATAATAATAATATTAATAATAATAATGCATAGGTGGATTTATAAAGCACTTTTAACAACTACTAAAGAATGCTGTTCAAATAAGGAGACAACCAGACAAAAACAAAATATAAATGAAATGTTATATATATAATTTTTTTGCTAACCATAACATTTGCATGCATAATGTTAAATTTAGTTTTAAATGGTGATCTACAACTTTTCCTTCTGGTTTTCTGTTTATTGATGAAAAATAAATACTAAAATGAGCACAGTGTGACTATCACAGGCTAAACAACATGAAAGTGCCTCCTCTGAAAGTGGACTTGTACATTTTCTTTTGTTTTTAATACGATTTAGCTGAAGAGCGTCTAATTTTGAATTTGAAAATGTAAAGCTGAGGCTCGTCTCTGATTGGATAAGACGTGAGGGCGGGAGGAGTACGTGCTTCACGTTCACGGTGCGACTGACGTCAATAACGAGCGAACGAGATAGACGCGGGCAAATGAGCTGCGCGAGAGCAAGCAAGCTGGTGTGAGATAGTACGTACGGAGCCCCTAAAGGGACATGGGAGGGGAAAAAACTATTGCGAGATCTTGCAAAACCTTTTGCGAGATCTTGCATTACTTTTGCGAGATCTCGCAAAGTTTCCCATGACAGTGAACCGGAAGATAAACAGACACACAACAACATGGAGGAGCGTCGGACTTCCGGCAAAATGGCGGAGCGGGTGCATCACAAATTCTGAACGCAATCTATTTGTCCCAGTTATTCAACAACCTGACCATCCAGCTATATTCACCAGATATTTCAAGCTTTATATCATTGTGAAATTCACTTTTAAGAAAGAGTTAAGCCATGGAACCGTCTTCAAAACGTGACACGGCCGCTACCCACCACAACTACGCAGCAAAGATGGAAACTTCGGCTGAGAGCCTCAAAAGGAAAGACCCTTTCTCTCCGGCAAAGAACAAAACAACCTCCAAAATGAAGGACCAGACTACAGATGAAGGTACGAAGGCCATCCTTGAAGCGATAAAAAAGCTCACAGATAAAGTGGAGGGCCTCGGCACGCAAATTAGTCACAACTCCAATATGCTAGCTAGCATGGCTAAAGCAGTGGAGTTCAACGCAGCGGAGATCAAAGACTGTAAAACGCGGCTACAAACCATGGAGCGAGAGGTATCAGTCAATAAAAAAGATAACACCATGCTAATGGAAAGTGTCCTGGAGTTAGAGAGGTACAAACGCCGATGGAACCTCAGAGTCAAAGGATTAAAGGAACGTGAAGGAGAAGACACGCGAGATATGATAGCAAACTTGCTGAAAAAAATCTCACCTGAATGGGCTCCGAACATCAACCATATCGTGGATTCTGCTCATCGGCTGGGGAAAAGAGAGGAGAAAAGAACCAGGCATGTCCTCGTCCAGTTCACACAAAGATTACACCGTGACGCGCTGTGGAAGATGACCAAGGATTCCTCCATTTGCAAAGAACTGGGGATCGGATTCATTGAAGACCTCTGCAAAGCTGACAGGGAGGCTCGAATGGCGCTGTGGCCTAAAATTCAACAAGCACGGGCGGCTGGAAAACGAGCGTACTACAGAGGAGGAGACGGTTACATCGATGGTCACAAAATCACGGTCTGAAGAACAGGAAGACTTAAATACGGTCCGGATGGTCCAATAATTCAAAATATTGAAGGGACATTAACATATCCTTTTGTGCCTTTTTGAGCCTTATGTCCTTTTTTTTTTCGCAGACTTATCCAAAAGTCGGTTGAAGTTATTGTTCTCTAGCAGTTGCTAGTTAGTTTAGTTAGTTTAATAATGAATGTTAATCTTTTTTGCATCTCTTTGAATGCTAGGGGCTTAAGAAACATTAATAAGAGAAAATCTATTTTTTTGTTTTGTAAGGGAGAGAAAGCTAACATTATTTTATTACAAGAAACACACTCACAACAGGAGGACGAAAAATTCTGGATTAATCAATGGGGGGATAACATTCTTTTTGACCACGGCTCCACCAAATCAGCAGGAGTGGCCATTCTATTTTGTAATTCTCCTTGGAAATTAGTAGCTTCTAAATTTAGCAGCAATGGTCACTGGCTAATCTGTGTTTTAAATAGTGATGACCAGTATTGTATTGTGGCTAATATTTATGGTTTTAACAACCCAAATCAAAATAAACTCTTGCTTACAGAACTTTCTAACAATATCACTAATCTAAAACTAACCTACCCAAGTGCAAGTATTATTGTTGGAGGTGATTTTAACATGGTTTATGATGAGCATTTGGATAGATACCCTTCTAGGTGTCAACATAGTTCTCATAATTCCACCTTATCTAATTTCTGTGGCAATCACAGCTTAGTAGATCCCTGGCGCCTGGCAAATCCTAATTTTAAACAATACTCCTGGTTCAAACCAAATAATAACCTAAAATCTAGGATTGACTTCTGGTTAATTTCTGCTTCAGTTACATCTCATGTCTCAGACTGCTGCATGTCAGCAGCTCCTCTGTCTGATCACTCAGTTATAAAGTTGAAATTTGCGCCTCCTGGCGGTGGACTCAGAAATAAAGGCTACTGGAAATTCAATTCTGCATTACTAACTTCTCATGAATACTGTGATGGTATTAAATCTCTAATCACTGAAGTGATGGCTGATAACACTATAGGGTCTTATGTGTCAAAGTGGGAGTTTCTAAAATTCAAATTTCGAGAATTCTCCATCCATTTTGGGAAATCATTTCACAAAAACAATAAACTAGCAGAACTTAATCTAATTAAAGAAATTAATACGTATTGTAATAAGGCATCACCAAATGAAAGTGACAAACAAAAATTATTAACTCTACAAGGTAAGCTTGATGAAATGTATCTAAAAAAAGCAGAAGGAGCCTACATAAGATCCAGAGCTAAATGGATTGAAGATGGTGAAAAAAGCACAGCTTATTTTTGTCAACTAGAAAGAAGAAGGCAAGAAAGAAATTCAATTAAAACATTATTAATTCAAAATCAAATATGTACAGATCCAACTTTAATTACAAAAGAATTGACCTCTTTCTACAGCAAATTATACACAGCGGCCTTCTCTGAGACTGATTCAAACTTTTTCTTCGATCACATTAAGAAATTTATCCCGAGTATAGATGATGATTTTGCAGAGTTATGCGATGCTGATATTACTATGCTTGAACTAGACAACGCAGTTAAAAACTTAGCCATAAATAAATCCCCCGGTTGTGACGGCCTAACGTCTAATTTCTATCGACACTTTTGGGATCTGTTAAAAAATCCATTTATTCTTATGTTAAAGGAAGCAACTGATACTTTATATTTTCCTCCCACTATGAAACAAGGCCTAATTACTCTGATACCAAAACCCGGTAAAGACTCTAAAATTATAGATAACCTTAGACCCATAACATTATTGAATACTGATTATAAAATTGTAACCTTAGCCTATGCCAATAGATTAAAAAGCAAATTAAACTCAATTATAAGTGATTCCCAATCTGGCTTTATGAAAGGTAGATCTATTCACAATAACATTCGTTTGGTGATGGATCTCCTAGACTATAGTCACTTAATTGATGATGACGGTTTTATCTTATTTCTTGATTTTTATAAAGCCTTTGATTCTATTGAACACCCCTTTATCTTTCAATGTTTAAAACAGTTAGGCTTTAGAAACAAATTCTGTGCTACCATTGAATCTCTGTATGATAATGCAACTAGCTCTATTTCATTACCAAATGGAACGTCACCACGATTTGATATTAAAAGAGGGGTTAAACAAGGGTGTCCTATCTCTCCCTTTCTCTTTATAATTGCTACAGAAATGCTTTCTATCTTTATTAAAAATTCAGATATTGCTCCCTTAAATGTTATGGGATTACCTGTAATCATTAGCCAACTTGCAGACGACACAACTATTTTTATGAAACATCTTACAGAGACTCCTAAGATAATAGAAGTTCTTAAGGTGTTTTCCCAGGCCTCCGGACTTAGTCTTAACTTAAAAAAATGTGAGTTAATGCCAATTCATCAAAGTGATTTAACAGAAGCATATAACATTCCTATTAGGTCAACGGTAAAATACTTAGGAATACATATATCCAAAGACCCAACTGAAAGGGAAAACTTGAATATATGGAAAACAATAGCAGAGTGTCAAACTAAACTAAACTCCTGGTTGTTGAGAGACATCAGTTTACTTGGGCGTGTCTTTCTTACTAAAATGGAGAGCATATCTAGATGTATCTACCCCGCATATTCACTGACCATTCCTAACAGAGCCATTAAAAAGATCAACCAAATCAACTTTGATTATATATGGAGGAAAAAAATGCATTACATTAAGAGAGCAGAAATGACCAAAGAATATAAAGATGGTGGACTACAAGCTATAGACTTTGAGATCATGGATGGAACACTGAAAATTAACTGGTTAAAATCCTTCTTTAACAATAAAAGCTTCTGGTATCATATACCCAGGGAAATCTTCAAAAGGTTTGGAGGCATTGACCTTTTGTTAAAATGCGATTTCAATATTAAGAAACTTCCGATTAAATTATCCCAGTTCCACCAACAAGTCCTTTTATATTGGAAGCTTTTATACAACCATAATTTCACTCCACACAACACCGCCA